AAAAAAACTAATGTCTAGTAGTTGAAATAGTTATATAAAAAGAGTTTAAAAAATTGAAACGAGTTACAAGCATGAACTGTTAGGGAAAAAAATAGATATCATAAATTAGATGCTAGCCAACATAGCGAGTTTAGTTTAAATATTAACTGAGGGTTAGAATGAAATTTTATTGCCTTGACAATTTAGCATTTTCTCGTTAGTGGCATTGCTGAGGATTCATGGATAGGATTCACGGATCATGGATATAGGAGTGCACCTCGGTCGTGTGTACAGACCTCACTGCGTTCAGTCTGTACTCACGACCTCGGTCAAGATTCTCCGATACAGACCTCCTGCTCGGTTATAAGAGCTAATTAATAACACTTTTTTTATCGAGGAAATTTAAGTCATCGCTAATAATGACGTAAGTTTCCTGAACATATGCAGAAGGGTGACCTTAGGAAAAAAATAAACTATGAAAATAAACCTATGCAATAACAAATGCATAAAACATATCAGTTACTTTCCAATCTGCAGATAACTTACAAATCATTAGATAACAAAAGCCCTCTGAGAGGTCATGTGGTTCAGTACTGGACAGTCAATAACTACACTAAAGAGTTACCGAGTTATTTAAGAAAAACTGATAGATAGAAAACTGAGAAAACATTGCGGCCACTTACTAGCATTTCCTAACGACAATCTCACGTCATGTCGAAGCGCGTGGGAAAGCGAGTGTCATACGTTTTCATTTCGTAGCGGTCACCGGTGAGAGATCGTAGAGATTCGTAGTGCCATGTTTCTGTTACACTCGACGGTAAACTCGAAATTAGTTTACTCCAAATGTGATATTCAATGAAGGGATAACAATTCTAAGCTGTAAAAAGCAGTTATTTTCATTTAAACGCGAGTTTTAAAAGCGAAAATCGATTATTAAATCTCAAGGTGTTTTCGGTCTCACTTCGTGAGATTGTTAAGCTTCCGAAAAGTTACAGACTATCTTACTAACGCTCCCGATGACATAATGGTACCTGGCTAAAGCCACTAACCACCACATAAAAATGACGAAAAATTGAAAAAAGAGTTTCTCATTGGAAATCCTCTGACCTAGAAATTACATTGAAACATGTTTCGTGTTTCCGTCGAGTTATAGAGACAAGAGCTAAGTGGAATTTTGGGAGAACGAGAAGTGCTGTGGGAACGCGAGCCGACAGGCGAGTGTTTGTAAGTGCAGCTTTTTCTTCGAGTTCTCCCAAATTTTCACGAGTGTTTCTATAACTCAGTACAGACACGGAGAACATGTTTTTTATTTCTTTTAGAAAATTCCGCGTCGACAAAAGAAAACTATTGTAAATTCTCTTTGCTCGCATAATCATTACGTCAACAGCTCGTGCTGGTTCTGCGTTTTAATCAAGTTATGGAATTACAACTTGCAGTGTGTTCCTTCTTACAGGGTGTTTTCTAATTAATATTCACAACCACTTTAGGTTCAACTGTTGCTCCACCTGCCACGACAGCCGCACCTACACCACCAGCACCAACGACTACAGCTCCACCAGTAGGTAAGGAAACACCTGATTGGTTAACTACTTAGTCAAGAATTTAACGGGTAAATTTCTGGAATATTAATATTAAAGGACGCTATCCTGAGTTGCGTATCATGAAATACGGCATGGTTTTTTTGGGCTATTTAGTGCATCGTGGCCTCTAAATCGCTGCTTACTGCGTATTCTGCATTCAGCTAGCTTTCAACTGGCGTATTTCACTTAGAGAGTCTTCGGAGATCTAGTGGAAAAATATCATTCGAATGAGTAGGCTAGCACTGTAACGTTAAAATAAATGGATCGACTGTAACTACAGTGAAATAGGGCGTAATATATAGGCTGTTTCGCGCATTAATATTTCACGATCTTTGAATCGTTATATAATGGGGAATTTGCATTAACGTGGCCGTTAGCAGAAGTATTTAACTTAGAAATCTGAGGAGATATGCTAGAGGAAACAAAGTATTTACACGGGACAGGTACATGTCGGCACTGGTGAATCAGATAAACTTGTACATGTCTTGATCTCGCGGCGAGCCGACAAGCCGGAAACATGGCACGTGACATAGGTTATTTATTTATTTCTTTTGTCTTTGTTTGTCTGCCTGTTTTTTAACACAGCACATGTCATGGGTTATTTAACTCGAACTGACCTTAAATAATTTAATTTTGAGAAATCTGTTTTACGTTAGCCATGAATTAACACATAACATTAAAAATGCCCTCTAAAAACATATTATGATATATTTTAGCCAATGTGTATGAAAAAGCAATTGTACACATGGGCTTATACAGTGACATTATACATTTTAATGTAATATAACCGTGTAAGTACCAATAATTGTGTTGCGAAGAAAAAATGCGTGTAATTATGTTGTAATTATCATTATTTTCAATTTTTCGTCGTTCAATGAAACTTTCACGACCCGTCAATTGGCGGCTTTGCGCTTTTATTGATTTATTCTAATTATTATTATTATTTTTTAATTTTTCTTGTAATTGCTTAGCCTTTGGCTGCAACTTTGATAAATCCATGTGCGGATTTCTTCAGGACAAAAATGACAAGTTTGATTGGACTCGAAATAAAGGAGGCACTCCATCTACTGGTACGGGACCATCCGCTGACCACACCACCGGAACTGGTATGCAAAATTTGTCTTTTATTGCGTCTCTTTCGTCTACTTCCATAACGTACCACTTGTTTCATTTGCCATCAACCGCTTCAGAGTCGGCCGGTTTTGGTTTATTTGGCTGAAGTGTTCTAAGAGAACATTTTCTTGACCATTTCCGTTAATGGTTACATTAATTTTTGGCCCAATTCTGTTGGGATAAACTGTTTTCAGATGGTTTGGTTCAAAACGTGTCTCATTGGGAATATCCAAGCCGATTAACCGTTTAAACAATTGGTTTGTTTTCGTTTGAACCGTTGATGACACTATTTCAATAGGGTGCATAATTACAGCCAAGACTGTAGTTTCCCACATGGCCCTATACATGAAACTAAATTACATCCTCATTAATTACAGGAAGTTCAAACGTTACAACATAGGATACTAAGCTACTAAGTTATAAAAGGAAATTAAAATATTCTGTCAATTTTAAAGCTATCAGGCGTGAATTTACGCATGATGCAGTCAAAGTAGTTTCTTCTGAGATCGGCCGAATAGATACAATCATTAAGAGCATTAAAAATGAAACTTTTCAAGTGAACCAACCAAAAAGGTGTTTTTCCAAGCTGTAGAACACGAAAAGACCTAACCAGCCCAACCAGCCAAAGAAAAGAGATACTCTCAGACTAGGGCCTTGTGTAATACTGTTTACTTTGAACATTTATCTCTACTTAGATATTTTGTACTAATTTTAGGAACTTTTCGGTTTAACAAAGTTTAGTTCATGGTTATTCATTCGTCCAAATTTCGGATTTCTGGTGTAATTTCCTGTTTGGATAAAATGTTTGGAACTCGTTCCAGTAGACTTACTCTTTAATTTATTTACGAATCTACTGCTGTTATACTATACATGTAAAATATTAGAACGCCCTCAATGGCGTATCCAAAACGTTGAGTTTTCAGAAGGTATGAAGTCACTCTCAGTTGGTTTGCGGACGCCAAGGTTAGTGCCCTTTCAAAAATCTAGGAAATTTTTTTCCATTAAGTCATCAGTGCCATATTATGTTGAAAGTAAGGTACAAAGGGTACTTCCTCCTTTCACTTGGTTGCAGAGGACAAAAACCAGAATTAACGATAACATGAATAAATGCCAAAAGCCAAAAACATGGAGTAGTTTTAACAGAAGTCACGGAGCCATTTTTTTTTTTTTTGTTATCTCTCTATCATTACAGGATACTTCATGTACACGGAAACATCAAGTCCTCGACAGCAAGGTGACAATGCAAAACTAAATAGCCCCAAGCTGCAATTCAGCGGGAACATGTGTCTTCAGTTCTTTTATCACATGTATGGTTCAACCATGGGGACATTAAACGTGGAAGTAAATGGAGTAAACGTGTTCAGTAAAAGTGGAGACCAAGGCAAAATTTGGCATGAAGCGAAAAAAGATGTAAATTTATCGGGAATGTTCACGGTAAGAGAAGTTTTCGGGGCCACTTTAAAGTTGCCTCGTACAAAATTGTTGTAATATAGTATGTAGAGAGTCCCAGTAGATGACTTCACAGTTACTGGATTTGTAACTCTCCAAAACCTTGACACGAGTAAGTTCAACGTATTATAATAAGAAAAAAAGCGCTTTCAAAGAGTCTTAAGTAAACCTCTTTCACCAATTGTTGAAAGTCTTCCTGACTTAGGGAAATACAACTGCAGTCGCAAATAGGTTTCTGTTAGACTGCTTTTTGAGTAAGGATATGGATCAACGCGCGATCGTGACGAAATAAACCTGGTTTCCGTGTAGAGTTGAACGTGTGGCTGCAGGTTAACCTTCATTCGGCTGATTTAGATCCATTAATGTAACAAATGCTAATGTGAAGTATTATTTATTTCTTCCTTCAGTTTTTATTGGCTGGGAGCCCTTCGCGTGACTTGTAAATAGCTTGCTGCCTATAATGATCTGTTCATGCGTGATACCGTCTGAATGCGTTTTGCTGCAAATAGTATTCTGCTCATGCTTGCATGTAATTGTATGAAAAATGGCAGATTGCTTCCTTGAGCTTTCAGAGAGTGATGTAAATATAAAAACAAACTTGGTGATCGAATGATAAAACAATTATTGAACTCGATTATCGCAAAATAGAGTCAAAATGTCGTGATTTGTCAGTGTCCCGCAGATCAATTGTTTTCCTCAGCCTTCGGCTTTGGCAAATGCTTTTATCGGCTGACTTTTAAATATATATATATTTTTTTATGAAGGAAGACTATTTTATGATACTTATCGTGAAGACTGATTACATTGATATGCTGTATTTTCATATGATTAAGTCTGTTCGTAAGTCGATCATTTTCATACGTTGATTAATATGTTTTTTTTTTTTTAATCGTCATGGTAGGTTACATTTGAGGGAATAACGGGAACAAGTTGGAAGGGTGACATAGCAATAGACGATTTCCTGTTAACCCCAGGGAGATGTTTATCAAGTAAGTCCGTAACAAGTTAAATTTCTATGTTTCGTATCTCACGAAATTATTTAGGTTCTTATCGTTTTCCAATTGATAATTGTTAACAAGCTAGCGCACATGTAACCTCAAAATTAGCAACAGCATGCCAACAAACAGAAAAAAAAACGACACAAAGAAGGCCTAGGAACTGCAATCAGAACATAAACGGGTAACAGAGAATAAATAAGTAAATAAATAAAACAAATAAATAAAGAATAAATACATAGATAAATAAATAAATAAATAAATAAAACAAATAAAGAATAAATAAAGAAATAAAGAAAGAATAAATAAATAGATAAATAGATAAATAAATAAATAAAGAATAAATAAATAAACAGCTTTTTCCAATCCTCTAAGTTGCTTCTGCCTCTTGTTATTTTGCAGTAACTCCGCCACCTCCAACAACACCCGGTTCCCCACCCCCACCAGGTAGGAATTTCTTTTAGCACAGTCATCATATCTTTCGTAAGAACTGATGTAAGTCCGCTTCAGGGAATAGGCATTAATTGCTATGAATAAATATGTTCATTTGCACTTCACAGAATTACTTGAGAAAGTATTCCTTCTGACCTGTTATTTGTTTGCGATTCATTTTGTTAAAATGTTTATCCTGCCCCTCTTTAAATTATATAGCATAACAATAAACATTAGTATAATTTTCAGAGGTGAATAAAAGAATTGGACATTCTGATTGGTCGATAAGCTCATCATATGACGTTTCATTCACCCCGCTAGAGCATGGTTACTAAGCTAGCCATCTATGCCATCTCAGCAAGTAAACATGGCGGAAAGTCGCTGAATGAAGTTTTCATTTATTCGAAAGAAATCACTCCAAGTCCAGGATATTTGAAAGAATGGAACATAGCTATATGAGTTTAAATATTAACTGAGGGACAGAATGAAATTTTTATTGCCTTGACAATTTAGCATTTTCTCGTTAGCGGCATTGCTGAGGATTCATGGATAGGAGTTCGCGATTGGCTGTTGTGTCAAAAGGCAGTCACCAGTTGAACTATGCATTGCGCTTCCAATAATTACACAACCGTTTTCAAATTAAAGTCAGCGTTTCTTTTAACCAAGATATTTCTGATCGGAAATAAGATTCCCCGTTTCATTTGTGGCCAAACCAACCTTAGATTGCAATGCAAACAATCCACATCCGAAGGTGAATCGTCTAGATTGCAAACCAATGCTCTTTAAGATTTTCGTACCGTAATTTAAACAAAATGCTATCGTCTACTTTTTCTTGAAGGTTCTTGCGGCATCCGCCCACCTACCAGGATTGTCGGTGGTGTCGACGCTAAGCGTGGTGACTGGCCGTGGCAAGTTCAGTTACGTACCACTTCCGGTTTTCCTTACTGCGGAGGTTCCTTGGTGTCAAATCAGTGGGTGGTCACAGCCACTCACTGTGTCAGAGGAAAACAACCCAGCTCTATAATCATAAGGTAAACTACTACATGCCAAAAAGAAACACTGGAATTAATAATATCTTACAAACGGAAGTAGGAGATACTTCTGTCGAGCAAAATGTATGGCAAGTTATTTATCATACAACCCAACTTTTTCCGTTGTGGGTGAGAATTACGAGAGTAGTTATATAGAACCAAGAAATATAGTTGGCATAGACGAATTAAATTGGTACTGCTTTTTGGATTCAAAATAACCTATACGAAAAAATGAGAGGGCTGTGTTCTAGAAGTTTCATAAAGTCCAAAAACAACTAATATTTTTTTTCGATATCATATCAAAGCCGTGATTTACTGTAGGTTTCTTTTCTATGAGTCGTCAGTCGTAACATGGTCTCACTCTGCTGTTTCTATGGAAACTAGGCATCTTACTTCAGATGTTTAAGATGATTTCCGCAGAACATTCGAGCAATAATGGCGAAAATAAAGTTACCAAAAAAAAAAAACACATAGCATGGTAATATTTTGAATAAAGGTAAGAAGAATTTATCGGGCCTCAAACTCTCAAGCTTACCCCGCGAGAGAAAATTGAACTTGAAGTTATCCATATTTCAATTAAAATGGACGTTTCCCGTTAGTTAAAAAGACAATAACGCACGCATTAAACATTTTTACGACGTTTGACATTAGCTTTCTTGAGAATGCTTTGGGATTTAATCGCGGGGTCACCTAGAGAAATGAATCAAGGTGGGATGTTTTAAATAGTATCAGTCAAAAAGTTACCATGCTGTGAGCAGATTTTTAGTAAATAATTTTTGCACTTATTGCTCGAAATTTGGGCGGCATCCGTCTTAAATTGTAGTTTCCCTTTTGGAACAGAAGCAAATTTAGCGTGCATAGTTCACGACTGGCAAGATAGTATAATGTAAGATGCTGATGAAATATACTACTTTCCTTCTAATTGGCCAGTGTTACCGCAATAAATTGCCTGATGTGATTAGAACTAGTGTGAGACTGGCTCGTATATAAGGTAATTTAAGCACCAACAAATGAATGAATAAAAAATATGAATTTTATTGGGTGTGTAAATGAATGAATTTTAAATGAATCAATCAACCATCATTTATTGATTGATTGATTGATTAATTAAGTCAGTCAGTCAATCTATGGATCGACCACTAATTTAATTAAGCACTTGATCGTTAACTTTAAGACTTGGCGCCCACCATCGTACTAACACTGATGGAAATGTGCAGGACATCAAAGTAAGCAAAGTTATAACTCATCCATCGTATCACAAACCGACAACGTACAGTCACGATATTGCAGTACTCAAACTGGAAAAAAAAGCTCAATTAAACAGGTTAGTATTTCACTTTGAGCTTCTCGTTGTTACGATATTTGCTTATTTATATGTAACTTTACGTTTATTTGACTGCCTCTTACTAATGTTTACTTATACAAAATACTGGAACAAAAAATTAGGGGGAAAAAGGGGCAGAGCTTTCATTGCACCTGACTCCTAATGCTCAAGAGTAAAAATACGCATTAAAAGTAATTGCTTATTATAAAACCAATAATTCTAGTTGAACTACAACACCTTTACATTTAAGGTGGCTCGTACCAGTTTTCAGGTTTTTGACGGCTCATAACTTTGTAAGAATAGAGCAAAAAGACAGACCAGGGCCACTGTAATATTTTTGTAGGTTTGGATTACATAATTTATACTTGAACTAAAAGAGCTGTTATTTTGTCGTCAGCAGGTACCATGGCAACATTCCAAAAGGATTTTCCAGACCTTATTTTTCGCTTATGTCACTAATAACTCAAAAAGTAACCCAGTGACCCCGAGTTTTTTTCAATCAATAACTTTTGGCATCTGAAAATGAAAATGCACAACAATTTTAAAATAATTTTACGGAGCCGATTTCTTGTAAACTTGGTAAAACGGCAATTTGC